GCTGGAGCCCCTTCCACGGCCTTGCAGGGCCCTCTGGTGGAACTGGGAATCCAGCCCGTGGCTGCCAAACAGCACTGCTAGGAAGAATGACGTTCCAAACCAAAAATAGAGAACAGGAAGACTGAGTTTTCTAGTTTCCCTGTTTCCTTGAAAGCAGCACTATTTCTAACACTAAACTTCATTTTTCAGACACACCGTTTTCCCTTAAGCAGATTAAATCCTGGAGCTTGTGTAAATAAGGAATTTTTCCTCTGACTCCAGTGGGGACAGAATCTGTCCCTAAAGTTCTGAAAGTAGAGAAAAAAAGCCCTTAAAGCTGTGAAAAACTGCTATTGATGGGGAACAATCCAGTCTGCTACAGGACCACCTGAAACCAAAAGCATGATCAAGAGGTCTGAATTCCGGCTGATGATGACAGTTCACACTCAGAGTTAAAAGAATAAGCAGGTTTGGAGGGTGCTGCAGACCAAACTAGTGTCTGATACATTCCTCAGCATGAGCTGCTATTTTGTGCATAAAGGAACAACCTTCTGCTGGATGTTCCCATAATCACACACGCCCAGCTGCCACTCAGCCCCTAGCCCAGTCCAACAGCACCACTGAACTCCTTATTCATCCTTCAGGGGAACTCTGGTGTTCATTTCTTCATCACCTGATGCTTGATTGACTGATAACACACCCTACACTGACACCTCATCAAGCTTTTACCTGTTCTGGGCTGCTGTTCCTCCCTCATTCCCTACCAGAGGCCATGAGGTGTGTATGTCCCAGGGTGTTAGAAGGGTCACTAGGTTTGGGGGGGTCACTGCCATTTTTAGACCTCTCCCTTTTAACCTCTGATAGCCCATAAATAAAACTGTGATGCAACAAGGGGAAAACTCCAGGAAACAAAATTACTACTTATTCTTCCAGATGGTTAAAAGACCAAGCTGTCCCAGTGCACCCACACACCGTGATTTATCCCTGTGATCTGCATCATCCTGCAGCTGCAGTGAGCAAGCAAACCATTCTGGCTATCACTGAACTCTTCACTTGAAATCACAAAGAAAAGGGAAATGTGAACCAATTTGGCTCTGCTTTAAGCTACAGATGTTCATTAAATATATGGATTCCAGGCATATTAATAATAATGGAATTCTCAAAAATCTAGACCTTTCAACAAGCAGCAGGCAGCTGGAAGCACTTCAGGTGAGCAGCACCATGTAAAACAAGCAGCCTCAAAAAAGCCAAGCTGCACTGGTAATTCATGGCAGAAACTGCTCAGCTGGCAGTACCAACTGATGTTCTGCAAGTCCAGCCTCCACGTGAGCTGACCTGACAAAGTGTCTTTTCAATGCTGCTTCATTTGTGGATTTTGACTTACAGCAGTGAGGTGGAAACAAATGTTTTCTGCTAGTAAATGTATGTTGCTTCATCCAGAACAGCATAGAATTGATCATTATATTGGTATTAGGTAGTCCAGGAGCCTGAAATACTGCCCAAGAGCTATAGTAAGGTTGGTGCTTATGCTTCCCTTGGCTATTGTTAGTGCAAAAGAAAAACTCTTCAGAAAAGCAATTCAGAGTAACAAAGTCAGACGAACATTCTGACTTGTCTTCTCCACACAGATGTACAGGGAGGGTGCTGGAATAATCTGCATAAGCAGCATCTTCAATGATCCAATGGTAATGAGAAGGAACATTTCTTCCCTACCTTTTGCCTGGTTAACTCTGCCAGTCAAAGCAATTACAGTGTTCCAATTAAAAATAGGCTGCATCCTCCAAGCTGGGCTTGAGATTCAAACTTCTGCAAAGCAATGGCAGGATTGCCTTGGCAGGATTGAACAGTCTCTTTCTCCCCTACCAGTCATTTGATGGTGGCGAATATTTCACAGAACAAAAGAAAGAACCAGGTCTGCCTTACACTTTATTACAGTGAAGAGGCCTCCTTTGTCAAAGGGATTGCTCAGTGGTGTTCTCTCCCACTTCTCAGAAACAAGATGGTTATTGGGTCCTTAAGATCTAGTCTCTGTTCCTGCCTGAATATTGCAGAGACAGCTGTAGAATGTTATTCTTTCAGGCACCATCTAACATGACCCAAGTCAATAATTGTCTTTTATTGGATTAGGCTCCTTAAAAATGGTAGTATTTTGAAAAGAAAAAGTCAATCTTCATTTTCATCTTAAATTCTATTGTCTGCTCTTAGTTAATACAGTTTCTTGGCCGTAGTGAGTACGCATTTGATTCAAAGGCACTGATGGCGTCAAGCACATCACTTGAGACACACTGATTGCCAGGAGCAGGCACAACATGTTCTTAAAAACCAGCTCCCCCTAAAGTATCCCAGGCTCAGCACCTCCTGCCTCATAAGCAGCATCCCACCTCAGCATGTACCTGTCAGGTTACAACTGCTTGATCCAAGGGACACCAGACAAAGCATTTGTCAAACCCAAAGCTTGAATTCATCCCTCTTATGTGCTTCAGGACCTTTTACTTTGAAAAGTGTTAATGCTGCCTGTTGACTGCAAAAATTTTATCTCAATTGCCATCCAAGAACATGCTAATTTTATTAAACAAATGAGGCTAATTATTTGCTTTCCACAAAACAGGCTGTGCTGAAAGCTCTGAATTATTTGTTTTCCTGACGAACAAGGACACGTCTTGCTCAAACAACAGATTCCAGCACAGATTTGATCATATGTTAGAAGGTCTATTTAGGTGTTGTGTCAAACAGCAAAGATAAGGTAAGGCTGGGAAACACTGGCCCCTTGAGGAGAGCTCCTCAAGCCCTCTAAATGTTCTATGGTACCAAGTGTCAGACATAGAGAGTTGGAGAATCAAAAATGGGATGACTGTTTCATCTACCACATGGAACCCTAAAGGGATGGGGGATGGCATGAGGGAAACTCACAGCTGGGGAAGAACAAGACACCATAGTCTAAAAAGGTGCATGAAGGCTCCAGCTTCAAGGGTACCCATTTGAAAAATAACTCCACAATCAGACCAAACTAGTCATGAAGAGCAGAACCTTTCTTTAGCCTCCCAGAGAAATCACAGTGCACAAATCTGCTTAACAGTCGAGCAGCCTGACTGTGTTTTATGGAACCTCTTTGATACGGTGGAAAGAATTCCTGGTGTCAACTACAGGTAGGCAGTCAAGCATTCTGAAACGTTATGTAAAAAATATTGTCATAATTTACATAATACATAATAAGTGTTCATCATATGAGCCCACAACACAAGATCACTACTGCCCTATTACAGATATTTCCCTTAATTACAAAAGCAAAGTGCATCTTGAAAAGACAAAAATATCATTCCCTCTGACAAGACTCTTCCCTAAATGACAAAAGCTGCAGAAGGCTGTTCTCCAGGCTTTTCTGTGTAGTCAGCTCTGAAATGCTTTGCTAAGCAGCAGTTGTTTACAGGAAAGGTCAAGAGGGCCTAATTAACTTGTCACTGTGCATAAACCCCCTTCCTCATTGAAGTGATTGAACTAGTTTCCATAAAAGATCCCTGCAAAGCAGTAATACGGATCCTCCTCCAACACTGTGTTCACTGGAATCACTCCTTGGGCTTTTGCTACAACATTCCAGTTATTCTCCATAGTCTGTGATTGCATTTTATAGCAAACACATATGAGTGCTGCACAGCACCTGGGAACACAGAGCTGGTGATGGGGTGAGGCAAGGAGGTGGTTTTGGTAGCTCTCAGAGACACCCACTGCTGATGTGCTCTGAGCACATAGATACAGACAGAGCATCTCTGTGCAGGGCAGTCAGTCCTGCTTGCCAGGACTGAAGACATTTTGGAGAGCACATGAGAAGCCTTCAGCTCCCACCCAGATGACCACTTGAAGCAGCCAGGAAAGAGATCAATAGTTTGTCTCATCTGGAGGATGGAGCCTTAATAAATGTATCCCCACTTCCTAGTGCTGAGCTGGAGTGGATGCTAACATTAGACCTGGAACCACAAGAGTCTGGCTCAGAGCTAAGAACATTACATAAGGACTCTAGGACTAATTTAAGAATAAGACTGCATCACAAACAGCAACACTTGCTGAAGTCCCCAAGCCACCATGAAGGTGACTATGGTGCTGAGAATACAGGCATCATCATGGTGTTGCAGTCAGGTTTTTGGCCTCTCCTGAGAAGTGGTGCTCAAAGAGGTATTTTGTTAATTTATCTCTCTCCTGGGATCAAAGGTGACACAATCTTAGCACAGTTATCTCCTTTTATTTAGGACTTGCACAGATACCTTTTCACTGGCACAGGTACATCTCTCTCTCTTTCTGCTTTCAAGCTGATGTGTCTGCATGATCCTAACAGAGATGTGGCTCCAGAGATTCAGTCTGATATCTCTCCATGAAGCCAACCCAGCTTTCTGAGCTATTTCAGTCACTTGTAATGTGAAAACAAATTGTTCCTCATAGATAATTCCCTACTACAATAGTACCTCCCCTTAAATGCAAGATCTTTCTGGTTGCCTCACTATGCAAGTTAGGAAAAGAAGGAGCACATCACAAGCTGGTCTAAAGCACTGTTCAGAATTTGCGTTACTCAGTGAAAGAACTGACTAAGATAAGTCTGAAGGCTTTGATCTATTGCCCACCAAAGCCAGTGACACCGCTGTAAAGTCAGTTGATAACAACAGGATTAAGAGGGAGAAGATAAAGATACATTTCAAAATGTCTTCGGATACGGATAAAGCAAAATGACACAAACAAATCCCAATACAGATAAAGCAAAATGACACAAACAAATCCCAAAGTCCTAGCAGTCATGAAGTCACTCAAAAAAAACCTGTCTGGTGAGCTTCAGTACATAAAATTACTAGAGAGAAACCACGAAAATTTACAATTACTCTTTTTTTTTCTTGGTGTTATATTTTTAACCTATTGCACTGATTATAACATGCTGTCAACAGCCTCATCAATTATCCATTGCTAAAAAGTGGGCTCTAGCATGCTGCAAGTGGTATTAATTGGTCTCAGTAGCACATAATGAGTTTAAAAGCTCCTACCTGTGTGCCCCCGGGGATGGTGGCTAGAGGCGGACAACAATTTACAGCAGACCATTAACACATAGACCAGAAAGAGCCACTCAGAGAGAAGCATTGATTTGGCACAGAATCTCATCCTGGAGGCAGAAAAGGAAGCAGTTGAGTGAAAGAGCAATGTATGTAGGGAATAACATAAAAATGATATGGGGAAGGAAAGCTGAGACGATGCTGAAGATTAACCAATATGGCTTATTACAAGACAACAGTGACAAAATCATATTCATTATTTAGTTGGCATCAGTTATTTGTTAATAATGTTTCGTAATTAGAAGCAAAACAATGTCTATCACACATCACATTACCCACAAACACGTATTTATAATAACACATTATGAGCGCAATACATTTCTATGAATCTGAGATAAAGGGTGGGTTGTTTTTTATTAAGATCCCTCCACACTCAAATGTAAATATACATATTTATAAGCTGCACTACTATTTTTAAACTGCACTTGCCCCAATCATAGAAAAAAAAATGTCATTTTTACTCAACATTTCTCAGGACACATTTGTTAAAGGTACCAGCTCCCACGTAGCCACGTGCAGGAACTGGCTGGGCCTCCCAGTCACACAACATCTGTGAGCTTTCCTTTCCAGTAGGTTTGTTGAGGGTTAAACACTCATGAAACCAGCATCTCAGGCAAATATGCAAGGACTCACTTCTCTGCCAGGGTGTTAAAAACTGCATTTCAGAAAACACTTGTTCTAAAGAAAGTGCATGTTGTTAGTCTTAGTGTTAGACCTAAGATCACAAATCCTCAGTAATTTTTCGGCAAATATCTACAATTAAATCCCTCAATAGCTTATGTTTTGCCATTCATCATATAGAAAGGGAATCTAATCATCTTCTTAAACTCAGTTATGGTGATTTATTACTTGTGTGATACATAAACAGGCATTATGTAGTTGAACCCTTAGATACCACGTTTCACACTTTCAGCAAATTCTGTAAGCAGGAATACATCAAATTAATTAAAGGCAATTTATAGATTTGCATAAATTGAACTAAATACTGCTTTCATAGCAGCGATGTTAGTGTGCAGGGAATCAGCATACTGGGATTTCAACAAGCCTATCACAAGCATATTTATTTGCACCAAAAAGTCCTTTGGGAACTTCTTCCCCCTGTGGATTCCAGTTCTGATTCTTCCAAGTATGTGCCAAACAATTTGTTTATCGGTTTATCTTTAAAAATATCTGAGACTATTCAGTTAACCCAATAGTCAAGTGTTGAATATAGGGATAGTAAAAAAAAAAACAAAAAAAAAAGGAAAAAAAGAAACAATTCATGCCTTAGACAGCTCTACTGTCACAGCCAGGTGAAGCACTTGGATGTTGTTTAAGTTCGATAAACATCTACAAACAAAACCAAAGCAAAGGCCATGTTTCCTCATTTAGTAGTGCTTGCATAAGTTTCACTTTCACACTTCGTAAAACAATATTGTGCAATATTGTTCTCTTATTGTGAATCTTAACAAAGCCCAAACAAATCACAAAAGCGCTTACTAATATCAAAAATTAAGAGACAAAAAGTCTGCTGCACATAAACATATCTTAGCAACAAATACTGTTTTACACATTGGTGCAAACCCCAGCATCTTCAGCTGTCCTGATAGACTTTACTCCAGCCTACAAACTTCTTTTTAAAATCACACAACTAGCGTTAATAAAGAGCTCACCGTGTCTACAAATCTCAGAAAGCAAAGATTACATGTAAAGGATCCCCATTTTAAGGACTGATTTGACAATGTGGCACCTTTTTTGGCTTTAAGAAGGTGCTCCATCTCAAGCCCAGGTTTGCCACCCTGAATGCAAATGAACCAGTACAGGAAGGAACACACTGAGGATCTTTTACAGCTCAGAAAATAAAGACATCACTAGTCCTTGCCTACCCTGTGAGTGCCCTCTTATGGAGCACTCCCAGGCTAATTCAGAGCAGCTGAACCTAATTCACCTCTTGCATCCAGCTGAACCACATAATGCCACTGCAGCTAATGGGATTGAGTCACTGTGAAAACAGCATAAATGTTATTATTACTGGTGATCCAATATTAGCCTAAGAAAACTGCCTAGTAAGTTCTGAAATCAATGTACCATTTCTTTCCCAGGTAACTGAACCTCATTTTCTTGAGGACAGAGATGAATTTAATCTAAATTTTCTTGCTCTCTCCATGAGAAACATACATGAGCTTGCAGCTCATGCACCAGTTATCACTAAATAGGATGTCATCATCTGCTCATCCTGCAATCCCATCTGTCTGTTGCTCTAAATGCAAACACTGGAATCTGATCCAAATAGCAGAGACTCCAGCTCTGGTTTCACTCTGTGGTATCATAACAAAGGCAGGAACTTTCCTACACATTTCCTGAGGTGTGACTGAAAGCAGGATTTAACCCAGGGAATTAAATACCACAGATCAGGCACTTTGAACGTGCCATTACTGGTAGGAGTTAACGGAAGGGACAGGTATTTAGTCTCAAATCATGCACTGTGTGCTTATCAGCTGCTATTTCAGCAATTAAGTGAACTCAGGTGTTCCCACTGTTCCCACTGCAGGAGCGAAACTGGTCTCAGTAGAAATGGTTGTGTGCTGAAATAATTTCAAAAGCTTTCCCAGATTATGAAGCCACGCTGTGATGTTAGACAGGGAATGTGAAACCAGGGTTCATCAGGGTAACAGGGTAACCTTACCCCTTTGCAGGAATATTCAAGTCCAGGAATAAGTGTATCACTACCAAGCATCAACTTAGTTCTATCCAAACTGAAAGGCTGCTAAAAGCATCCAGTACCATACAAATGATATATTTTCAGAATTTGGTCTGCCTTGCAGGTAGACAGGACTCAAGTTCTCAACCTGCTAATGCAAAGAAATACAAGAAGATCTTTGAAAAGGCAGGAGAAAAATGAAATTTGGCAGACAGATGCAGCAAGGGGTGCTGAGCCCTTCAGCGTCAGTGGGCTGCTGCTTCCAGAAATGTCAAGCCTTCATTCTCTATTGGATTCAAGTGGATATTGTTGCTCACCAGAACAGCAAATCTTCAGTGTCATTTGAAAGATAAAAAGTGCTCTTACCTTGGGGACTTTGTAAGAATTTTGTTCCAGTCAAACACAATTATTTCAGTGTGTTTTTCATAGTTATTCCAGATTCCCATTTGCGGTAGCAAATAAGACTTTCTGCATCTCAGAATTTTTCTTTCACTTTGGGGACCTAGAAAGAAAGTCATATTACACTGCAATTAACGTCTGGAGTGGTGCTGTAAAATACATCTCCGCAACCAAAATCATTGTTTCACAGTGCCATCTACAGTGCAATCCAGGGCAGAAGACAGCAGTTGTATTGCTCTGTTCTTTCCAAGAACACAGAGAAATTGTGGTAAGGCAGCTCTGAATTATCACTGCATTAACTAAAGGCAGAGTTCACTGTACTAGGAATCACAAACAGAACATGCAGCTTGCTGGGGCTTTATAACCATGTGCCCTCTTGCCACCCAAATGCTGTGAAAGTTGTAAGGTCTAAGACTCCACCATAGTGCAAACACATTTCCACATGATTACATAAAGCCTCTAACAGTATGAACCAGAGATTATTAGAGAAAGGGGAAAAAAATCTTTCATTGTCTTCATAAAGGTTTGGCCAAGGCCCTGGAGTGTGGCTGCCTCAGGAGCAGAGGGTCACATCCACAGGAGCGTGTCTGTGTGCTCAATGCACTGCTGCACCCTCTGACACTTCTGTCTCCCCTTGCTTCCAGCATCACCTCTCACACCCAGCCCACCTGTACCCAGAAGTTACCCTTTGAAATCATTACATGGAGACCCTTGTGCAGCAGTACTGACACACATTCCACAGAATAACCAGCTCAAACACTCCCTTTTATAGACATTTGAGTATCTTTGCTTTTGTTGTTTATATTTGTTCTCTCACTTCTATCCCTGGGCGCAACTTGACCTTCTGCTATAGAAAGCACGACACAGTGCAATTTGTGAGAGCAATAATAATGTGGCCTTCACTACGGAGAGGTGACAATAACCTTTTCTCATCTTCTCCACCACTCTTTTAATTTCACTCTTCTTCTGATCAATTAGAAATTTGCTTTTAAGAAACACAAAATTACACCACCACATCGGAGGCCAAAGCATCTCTAGGGTCATAAAAGCACGTAGGCAGACACCTCTCAGAAGCCCGTGGCTCAACACACTCATAGAATCACAGAATGCTTTGGGATGGAAGGGACTTTAAAGATCACCTCATTCCAACCCCCTGCCATGGGCAGGGACACCTTCCACTAGACCAGGCTGCTCAAAGCTCCGTCCAGCCTGGCCTTAACAGCTCCTTTTTGTTCAGAATGCCATGAGAAAATAGAGTAATTGCTGGCATTAAAGAGGTGCCAGGCCAGCAAACTATAATTAATCACATTTTACTCTCTCTTTGCTTTCCAACGTGGAGTTTCAGAGTGAGCCAAAATCACAACACAACAGTTGTAATTAAAACAAAATGTGGACAAAGAGATGCCTTAAGAAAAAGCACTACCATCCTGTATTAGTCCTTTCTTCCACAAATACACATAAAATAAAAAATAAAAATAAAAAAAGTGTGTCTCAAAAGGCCTATTGAGAAGAACAAACAAAGAGGCTTTTCAATATAGCATTGACTGACTGAAATGGTTATGTGGTACATTTTTACCCATTTCATAATAGGACAGGTAGATAAATATATTCTTACAATGCTCTTGCAGAAATCAATACTGCAATACACTAACCTGGGTTTTAGTGCTTATCTGTTCCATAATTTTTATTAGAGAGGAAAGTAAAACCCTGTGTAGATGCACCTAAAGGTGTAAACACTAACGTTGCTGTAACCTGTTCTGTAAACACATGTTAAACACTTGTAAAAGACAAGGAAATATTGATTATTCCAACTCATTCTAATTAAATGGAAGCAGCAAAAGTGACAGATGATACAGCCACCAGCATATCTTGAGGCTTTCTGATGCCTTCCAGGCAGAGATATTTCTTTTAAAAATAGGGTTGTTTGAGGGGATATTAAGGCAAACTCCTGAAACCAACGTCAGGTGGTTTATGTCAATAAAGGAGACAGGTCAGAACAGAAGCAAGAGCCTCACTTGGTTAATAAGGGTAAAAGGAATTCCAGGTTTTTCTGGCAAAGCCATGTTTTCTGTGTGTTTTGTGAACAGTGGGTTTGCTGCTGGTCTCTACCTCGTCTTAGGGTATTGCATTACTTTGGAAAGCAGAGCTGTTCATTTGATTTTATACAATGACTAGTCAGTGGGCAACTGAATCCCATCTCCATCTCCACTAAATATATAGAAAAGAAGGAAGAGGGAATTGGAGAGGGGAAGGGCTCTCAGTATTTACACCTAGGTTGGCCATGAACAGCTCCTGCTTTGCACATGAGTCACCCCGGAGGCCACACAACTGCCCTGTGTCAGTATTTAGGGCATCCACATGCCCAAAACAAAGACTACAGCTTCTGGGATCTGAAAGGAATTGCCATGGTCAGATCTGATGTGCCTCAGTCTCAGCACAGTCTGTTCTCTGTGCCTCTGCACTTCAGTAAAATCAGTATAAACAGCATTTCCCTATGCCAGAGAAGTGTTTCAAGAACAGAAACAATAAAGGTTTAAAGTTATTTGAAAACTGTATGGGTGCTGTATAATTCCTTTGACAGTAGGAATAAGATAGGGTTTTAAATTAGGTGCATTTCCTACCAATATTTACATGTTTTAAAATGCTTCTTAAGGCTACTTTCTGTAAAGAATAAATTACCAAACCATTTTGTGCAATCTTTCATAATAAGCTATTAAATAATTTAGAAAACCTTCTTCCATTAAATATTTAAAAGGCTTTAATTTCTCCATTCTCAGTAATTCCTCACTTATAATACAACAGTGCATCCCTCAAAGACTCCTCTTCTCTGTAAAGCAATGGGTGAGAGAGGAAAGCAGTTTGAGGGCCATGTACTGTACAGGGGGATTTGCCTGCCTGAGCTTAACCCCACTGTCAGCCTGGTTAAAATCTTACCTCCTACTGAATAAGAGAACAAGAGAAAACAGAGCAACATCTGCATTTCGTAGAAGGGAGGGGAAAAAAGATCTAGTCTGGTCACTGTATGTATTTGAAAAGTGCTGCTATTTGAGTTTAAGAGGAACCAGAGACAAAAAAAAAAAAAAATCAAGAAAAGAGAGAGTGAACACCTTCTTGGCCATATCCCCCACTACAAACTGGCTAGCCCAGAGCTACATTTCAGGGCTAAACCTCTATAAACAGGTCAGGTTTTCAGCAATAGAACTTGAAGGGGGCTTGTAAAAAAGAGGGGGAGCAATTTTTTACACAGGCAGACAGTGATAGGACAGGGAGGGATGGTTTCAAACTAAAAGAGGAGAGATTTAGACTAGGTGTGACATAGCTGTGGCTGCCCCGTCCCTGGAACTGTTCAAGGCCAGCTTGGACAGGGCTTGGAACAGCCCGGTCTAGCAGGAGGTGTCCCTGCCCATGGCAGAGGGGTGGAACCGGATGATCTTTCAAGTCCCTTCCATCCCCAAGCATTCTGTGATTCTGTGATCATGTTACCCCTCGGCCCGCGGCCACTTTCGGGCGTGAGTGGGTGACTCACTTTCCTGGAATAGAGGATCGTTATCCCGGGATGGAGGGGGGTTATCCCGGGATGGAAGGTGGTTATTTTGGGATGGAGGGTCTCTATCCCGGGATGCAGGCTGGTTATCCCGGGATGCAGGATGGCTATCCCTGTTCCAGGATCGCTATCCCGGTTCCAGGGCCGTTATCCCGGTTCCAGGGCCGTTATCCCGGTTCCAGGATCGCTATCCCGGTTCCAGGATCGTTATCCCGGTTCCAGGGCCGTTATCCCGGTTCCAGGATCGCTATCCCGGTTCCAGG